TGGTGAATGCCACAAATTCTCCTAAATCACTCGTACGCACAACTTAAGAACAAATCTGTGCGTACGAACAGTTCTTGCATGAGGCCCATTGATCTATTTTAAACTGTACATAGACAGTCAATAAATCATATTATTTTACTATTATCATTACTTCCTCTTTTATGTTGCCCCACAAGACAAGTCAATCTGACCAATCACGGTTAAGCCAAACTCCGCCCACACACACCAACTCTGCCAATAACAGGTAGAGCCAACTATACCACAGGACAACATGTACTGCAGAGACTCCTACTTGTTCACATCTGCCTCCAACTATGGGCACTTGAGCAAGGTCCGTACCTCTACCAGCTGCTCCCTTGAGCAGCAGCGGGCTGTGGTAGTTCGGTGGTTGTGTCACAAGAAGCATCGGCTGTTACAAGAACACAATTGTCAAAACTTGATTCACGTTTGCTTGCTGTGATGATCCATGAAGAGGGGAGCAGCCAAAAGGAGAAAAAAACTGAAATTATTATTTGCTTGTTCTGAAATGTGTGACAATAAAGCATCAGAAATTAGTGAGAAGCTAAATCTGTCTCACTGTATGTTGTACCTCAAGCTTCCATTCAGTTTGTGATCAATTCTATTTCTTTAGGTTGATTTAAAATCCTCTGTATAGTGACTTAATATGTTTATTTGTCAGATGTGAGTCTCAGCAGTGACTTCATCTCAGGCTTCTGTGGCGAAACGGAGGACGACCATCAGCAAACCCTCTCACTGATCAGAGAGGTGGGCTACAATGTGGGATTCCTTTTTGCCTACAGTATGCGAAAGGTGACCTCTCACTACACTTCCCAAATATAACACAAAAACCAAGCAGTTTTTCCCCCCTGAAAAGTAGCAGAGCTGTAAAGATGTGCATTTTGTGTTGATCTTCTTTAGAAGACACACGCCTTCCACCGGCTACAGGATGACGTGCCACCACAAGTGAAACAGAGGAGGGTGGAAGAGTGCATCAATGTGTTCAGAGAGGAAGCTTCCAGGATCAATGCTGCTCTTATCGGCAGTACACAGCTTGTGCTGATAGAGGGAGTGAGTATACAAACTGGCAACATACTAACTGTTAACATTTTTTACTTTATGGAAGAATCTATAGATATACAGTCTAGGGCTGCTTATTGACAAGAATTTGGCGATACGATACATATCATGACAGCGGGGTCATGATACGATATATCACGATATATTGTGTTACTGTAAGCAAGGCGATATATTGCGATTTTTTTGTCCAAAAATTATATTAATTAAAAACCTCTTACTGAAAAAAGAAAAAAAAAAAGGAAAAACCAATTCGTCTCAGAAAATTCTAATATTACATAGACTTACATTTGATACATTTAGCTGTGTTCTGCTTTGCCAATAAATAGTCTGAAAATATATATTTGGCAGCTTTTAGTTTTTAATATTAATTTACAATATGGTCACCCAACACTTAACAATAGCCTTTATGYTGTCATAAAGTTCAGTAAACAGATGATATGAAGCTGCTGCACACAGAGTTTCTGGGATCAGCTGACCTGCATCCAGAACGTGATTTGTGGGTCGAACAGCAGGGCAGGTCCCGAAAATAAACAGTAAACAAATGAAGAAGCTAAACAACACAGTTAAACTGTTTTTGAAGTAAACAAAGCAGGATAAACTCAAAGTAAATGGACTTTAATGCGATCAGCTGGACACTTAGAGCAGCAGAGTTTTTTGTCACGGGGCGTCTTAAGGGGGGAGCGCAGAGCTTGAGGCGCTAGACCCATGCCTGCCTGCCTGCCTTTCGTAACATGAAGGCTGACTACAGTTGGAAAAAGAGCGCACGAGACACTTAATTTGGCTTAAAATACAGACATTCTGAAAAATAAGTAACCTTACTTCAGCTTAGAAGGCAGAGTGTGTCTGACTTTTCTGCTAATATTCAGCTATCGGTGCATGAAGCTGTGCCCAAGTGGAGGAGTTTAAGTATCTCGGGGTCTTGTTCACGAATGAGGGGAGAATGGAGCGGGAGATTGACAGGCGGATTGGTGCTGCGGGCGCTGTACCGGTCTGTCGTGGTGAAGCTCTCGATTTACCAGTGGGTCTACGTTCCTACCCTCATCTATGGTCACGAACTTTGGGTAATGACCGAAAGAACGAGATCGCAGAAACAAGAGGCCGAAATGAGTTTCCTCTGCAGGGTGTCTGGACTCTCCCTTAGAGATACGGTGAGAAGCTCAGTCATCCAGGAGGGACTCAGAGTAGAGCTGCTGCTCCTCCACGTCGAGAGGAGCCAGTTGAGGTGGCTCGGGTATCTGGTTAGGATGCCTCCTGGTGAGGTGTTCTGGCTTGGGCGTACTTAGCTGCCCGTGGCACTGGGTCAGTAGTAGTTATTGATGATGTGACACAGGACAGAAGTAGCTGGATGAGGTATTCAGAGACAAACTGTGAGCTCAAATGCAGAAAAACTGATTGGTCAGCATTTCCTTAGACAGATGGACAATGACCCAAAACATAAAGCCAAATACCCAGGAGTTTATTAAAGCAAATAAGTGGAATATTCTTGAATGACAAAGTCACCTGATCTCAACCCAATTGAACATTTCACTTGTTAAAGACTAAACTTCAGACAGAAAGGCCCACAAACAAACAGCAACTGAAAACCAGCAGTGAAGGCCTGGCAGAGCATTAAAAAGGAGGAAACACAGCGTCTGGTGATGTCCATGAGTTCAAGACTTCAGGCAGTCATTGCCAACAAAGGGTTTTCAACCAAGTACTAGAAATGAACATTTTATTTACAATTATTTAATTAGTTTAATTACTTTTGAGCCTCTGAAATGAAGGGATTGTGTTTAAATGCTTTAGTTTTTCACATTTCTATGCAACCATTTTGTTCAACACAGAGAGTCTGAACTTCAACTGCATCTGAAGTGTTTTGTTCAGAATTTATTGTGGTAATATACAGAACCAAAATGGCGAAAATTTTGTTTCTGTCCAAATAGATATGTTCCTAAATGTACATTTTGATAACCATCTTCAGTGTATTCTCTAAAATCTTATAGTGTGACAGTGCCACAACATCAGCAGGACAAAGAGGGAGATATTAGTAAAATGAAATAAATATTGTGTTTATCAAAATAAATTTCAATAAAATAATTTTATATTACATGCAGATTTTATCAGCTATTTAAAAATAAACCAACCAAATTCAACACTGTTCATCTGATATAATGAGAAAATATTTTATGAATGATATAGAAATATAAAAGTCATGATTAGGGAGTCAAATGTTTAACCCAACGATTTTCAGGATTTTTCTAATGTTTTTCTCTGTTTCTCCTAAAGTTTGGTGGGCTTAGGATGGTGAGGGTCTTTATAGTCCTTTATTTTTATTTAAAAAAATTTCAGAAATTAATTGTTTATTGCCAGTTGTTCTAGACCCTTGACCTTATGTAGAAATCAAATTTGTACATTTTAAACATGAAGTTTGAAAATCCTTGGCATATGCAGACAGCCATTTAATAGCTGCAAACACAAGATGAGTGTTTGTGAAAATGAAAAACATTGAAGTTTGTACTGGCCAATAAAAATGGCCACCTGGATTTAACTAAGGAAATCAAATTGGCAATTTCAAAAAAATGGCTCCTCCTGTACAAAAGCAGCAATTCATGTCTACTTTTACCTGCTCACTGGCACCACTGTTAAACTCTTGCATCCTATTTTTATTAAGGAAAGTAAAAGATCTGCTGAGGACCTGTGTGGGAGAACTGACGGCAACATCAAAGTGATTTTCTCCAAAGAAGATGTTCAGCATGCTGCATTCAGCTCTGCACCAATCAGTGCTGGGCAGTATGTTCTGGTCAAGGTAGGGTGAGATTTGTACTTTAACCCAGTAGGGTATATTATACAGTACATGTATATACATTACTTAATAGTTAAAATTGTTAATCTAATAGTTGAAAACACATTCTGTAATGCTATTACACTATAAACTACATTTTAGACAACTTATGCCAACTTGTGAAAGTTTTGTACTGATTATTTTACTCATATTGGCTATATATTGTATCTAAGTGTTAGTATTACAGTATGTATAGGTCCAAAAGAGGCTTCCAGTAGACTTTTTTATTATTCAATTTTCAGCTTAGACATCTCTAGTGTTGGACAAACTTTTCACAAGTTGGCATAAGTTGTCTAAAATATTATAGTGTGATAGGATATTGAATTGTCTGGCCAATGCTATTATTAACACACTGTGTGCATGCGTGTGTTTGTATGTGCTTAATGGCTCATGAACCACTGGACAGATTTTTTTTAAGCTTTCAAGAGACAAGCATTGCATGTACAGTACATCTACACCAGGGATAGTCAACTACGGTCCTCGAGGTCCGCAGCTCTGCACATTTTACTCGTTTCTCTGCTCCACCACACCTGATTTGAATGAATGGATGATTTTCAGGCTTCTGCAGAACTTGGAAGAGGTAATACACTGACTGAATCAGGCGTGTTAGAGAAGGGAAACGAGTAAAACATGCAGGGCTGTGAACCTCGAGGACCACGATTGACTATCCCTGATTTATACCGATTAACGTTTGGAGTCAACCTTATTCAAGATGGCTGCCATTATAAAGTACAGAAAAGTACTTAAAATAATCATCTTGTACTATTTAATTTAAAGCAGGGGCCTTCAGTGTGTTTTAGTCTGGGACCCCAAAACCGATGAAGAGACAAACACACGCACGCACGCACGCACACACACAGACAGGTTTGTTTTTATATTCCCGTGGGGACCGTGGCTTGACTTCCATTCATTTTTGGTAATTTTATATCCTAACCCTGACCATTTACCCTAAAATTAACCTCACAGGTACCTGATTGACCCTAAAACTAACCTAAACTTAATTCACACCTCAGTCCTAAACCTAACCCCCCACCTGAAATTAGCATCCTACCCTGGTCCCCACAATGCACATTCGGTCCCCACAAGCAGTGGTGGGCAGTACTAATCTAAAAATTAGTTCCACTAGCCCTAAAACACTAACTCAGATATTTAGTTCCCCTAATTCTAAAGCACTAATGCACTGAAAATTTTATCAAAAGCTAATTCTAAAGCACTAAAATAACCCAATCAACCCATGAACATTCTTTAACAGACAACATGTGTCACATGTTGCCATGTTGCTCTCTTAACACTTATCATTGACATTCCACAGCCTTATTTGAGTTCATGTATTGTCACCTAGTCTAGTGGATAAGTGACACAAATATTTACAAAATGTGCATCAGCTGTTAACATCAACTTTGATCAAAAACATTTATAGACCTCAGTTAGTGCTTCTAGATTTAGCCTATAAATTTATCAAGTACTAATCCACTAATAAATTTTAAAATTAGCAAAAGCCCTAAAGCACTCATCAGAAAATTAGTTCCCCAATCAGCGCTTTACAGGAACTGTGCCCACCACTTCCCACAAGGCTGCATTTTTCAGGAAATTGGTTCCTACGATGTGGCAAAAACATATACACACATACAGACAGCAACATAAACATTACTGTTGCTTCATCGTTGGCAGTAGGCAATCACAAACATACTAAAAGTGAACAGAGTTTTCTAATAATTTAAAAACAAAACATTTTACAGCCAATGCTAATACTACTTTCTTAAAATTTACAGGTATAATTACACTACTGAGCAAAATTTTAAGACCAGTCGAAAAATGGGTAAAATTCACATTTTGCACTGTTGGATTGTAAGAGTGTTCTAAGTAGAGCTTTAAATGCAAAACATGAAATTGGAGTGAGACAAAAAACACCAGAGTAAGCATTTTATTGCAAACAAGTATTAAACTGAAATAGGTTGTTCATCAGCTGATCAATAGTTAAAGACCATATCTCAAAACCAAAACCAAATCTCCTCTGAAACAGAAAAAATGTTTGAAAAAAGGACTCAGGATGCTTGATATTAGTATTTCAGGGGGCGGTTGTAGCAGAGTGGTTAGGGGAGTCGTCCTGGAACCGGAAGGTCGCCGGTTCCATCCCCAGTCCAGCTGTCTCAGTTGTTGTGTCCTTGGGCAAGACACTTCACCCCTAATGCCTCTGATGTGTGTCCCATCAGTGTATGAATGTGATTGGCACTGATTAGTCTCAATTGATGATTGTATATGTTAGCTTTGTAGAGACCTAATAGAGTGCTGTGTGAATGGGTAAATTAGGGCACAGATTGTAGTGTAAAGCGCTTTGAGTGTCCTGKATGGATAGAAAAGTGCTATATAAGTACAGTCCATTCACCATTTCCAGGAAGCTAAAGGGAATGTTTCCAAGTGGTGAAGATGGCTTCACAGATGGCATCCACTGTCTGCAACTGGTGTCTAGTTTTCTAAACTTCACTTGCCATCCAACCCCAAATGTTCTCAGTTAGATCAGTGGAAAACGCAGGAAAAGAGTGATGCTTTCTCTGGAAGAAGTCCTTTGCAGTAAAGACACTTCAAAAGCAGCAGGAATTTCAAGGCTGCTTTGTTCCAAAACAATTGGATTACCTTTCTGGCTCCCAGCGGCACGGCCTTGAGGGCAGTGCTTATCTTAACCTCCCCAGGATGTAATGTCAACTAAGAGCTGGATTTGCTCCCAACCCATCACCTGTGTTGGACCCGGCCTTGGAACTCAATTGGCTGAGGAGAAGGAAAATCTCTGAACTCTAGCGAACTGAGTAGAGACAATAACATCATGTGACTCTGGATGGGCCCAGGGTTGGGCTGTCTTGCTCTCTCGCGAGTTGTTTAACTCAATTTTCTTTTTGTGTATTTCAAGCTGTTGTTAAAGGAAGCGCAACTGAGTTTGCTTCATGACTGGTTTCACCTGTTCCCCCATGTTTGTCTTGTATGTCTCTTGAATGGGTGTTTCTTAACTGCCCTCTCCCCCCTTCCCTGATTGTACAGCACCATGTAAATTTATTTCTGTGAAAGTTGCTATATAAATAAAACTTTACTCACTCACTTACTTTKTCAGGCGGGCATTGTGAATTGCAGAGTTGTCCTGTCATTATAACACAAACTAAAGATGGGCAACTCTGGTCCTCAGGGGCCACTGTCCTGCATGCTTTAGAGGTTTCTCTGCTCCACCACACCTGATTTGAATAAATGTGTGAGTAACAGGCTTCTCCAGACCGTGAAGAGGTAATTCAGTCCATGAATCACGTGTGTTGGAGACCATCAAGGAAAACTTGTAGGACAGTAGCCCTCAAGGACCGAAGCTGCCCATCTCTGACATAGATGATGATGGCCTTCAGTCATGAGGACACCTGCCATTTGATGCCTCTGCACAACCTGAAGCTCCATTGATCCATTGAATGAAAAAGCCCCTGAGATGATGATGGCGTCCACTTCATCGTGTAGAAAACATCTCAGGTGGCATCACACCATCAGGACTGTCAAGGTTAAATTTTACCTCATCAGATAATAAAACTTTCTTCCATCTTTCATCATCCCATGTTTGGTTTTCTCATTTAAACTCCAAACAGGCTATTTTGTACCGCTGAAGGAGACAAGGCCTTTGAAGACATTTTGATGGTAAAAGCCTATATGCCACAGACATCCGGTCCAGCACGTGATGCCACTCCGATCACTTGCGGTTCGCGGTCAACACAGTGTTAGCGAAAGATTTTTTCACCCGACAACGACTCTTAATGATCTCCACAGTTCAGAATTCGCATATTACATGTACCAACATTAACACAGGAGACATACAGGTCAAGCCAAGTGGAAAAAAAATCACTCCAAAGTGGATTAAAGCCATAAAACAAAGGAAAGACGTTCGTGTTTGTGGTTCCAGAATTTAGCCTTTTTCACTATTCCTTAGCTGTTTGTTCGGTGAATTTTTCACGTAGAGCTGTGACACTTATATTTTTGGAAAGAGCAGAGTCTAGGCTTTAAATTGATGGGCTACTTGTATGGTTTGGATCATTTTCCCCGATGTTGGTGAACTAAAAATGTAATGATTATCAGGCGGAGGTTCTGCGGCTCTCAGTGCTCGGGGTGGGGTGGGGGGGGAGGGGGTGCGTTAGTCGCTCATGTTTTGTTTACACTGTAATATACAGTCTAACAAGTTTTTACTTTTGCATAAAACTCCTGACAAAGTTGCCTAAAAACATTTCATACTCTGTAACACAAACACGTGCACACAAGCACACACCTACCTGTACCGGCTACTGTGTTAGCTTCCTCCTAGCTGTGAGGTGGTCTTTCCTCTCTTGTCTTGGCAGTAAAGGGGGATAATTGTACATCTCCCATTTGTAATCTCCGTCTTCTCATTTCTGATGCTGGCTCTTGAATATCCTCAGGTTAGAAATGCCCATTACAAACGCAAGCGTGAGCTTATAGCTAAGTTTTTCCTGTATAGCTATGATCCACAGCTGTCACCTTTCCACCTCTAGAGGAAAATGAATAAAAACTAACTACTCTATCATACCTACTGGTTAGTTGATGACACAACGGCACACAACAGAACTCACCTTTTATATCAGTAGTTCACAGATGCTTTAACTTTTGTGACTTTTTCATGGTGCAGTATTGGGAGGCTACGCTAAAAACAAAGGCAGTAACCAGGAAGTGGAAGGGAGGAGCTTGGCAAGAATTTTACTGGAAATACGTCATTAATGACCGTGGCATATATGCTATTGGACTGCAGTTGACACCAGTGACAAACCTAATTTGGGACGAGGATCGTCCTGTGTCTTGATGGACAGCGTATTGGATCCTTTGGCTCAGGGCCAGTAAAATCTTTTTGGGTCTACCACTCATGACTCTGTGGATACGTGACAAAAAATGACACAAGACAGAATCCACATTTTTTGTGAAGATTTGGCCTTTTAAATGCTGTGGTCTTAAACTCTTGATCAGCTGATGAAAAGCCTATTTTAGCTTTGAAGGAAATTTTGTAAATGATTAATTGAATGTTTGTTGCAGTTTTGTATTTTATACTTTCTGATCATTGCAACCTTAAGGCTAAAACAGAGAAAGAGTTGGTGTGTCTTATCAATGTGTTCTTTTTGTAGCCTAAACAAAAATGGGTTACGTTCTGACGTTTGACACAAAAGTTACAACCTCCACGGGTGTAACCAGGAAAAGAAATGCATTATAAGGTCAATTCATTATTAGAGGAAGAAAATAGGTGGTTTTCAGAAGTGGTTAGAGTTTACAGTCTCTCTGTTAGATTCAGCCTGCTGGGCTGTTTTGTTTGGGTTTGAGCTTATGCTGAGGCCTGTGCTGTGCACTGTGAAACTGACTGGAGCAGATTGAGAAGAAAGTTTTGAGAAGAAATCCAAGTGGATTCCTGTTTTGTTAAGACATGCCATATTTCTACAGCTTAGTGGTTGTTTGCAATAAAATGCTTCCTCAGTTGTTTTTTAGTCTCACTCCCATTTCTTCTTTTTGCATTACGAGCTATTCGTAGAAGATCCAACAGTTCAAAATGTGAATTCTTGCCATTTTTCAACTGGTCCTAAAATTCTGATCATTTGCAGTTTTGGTTCCAATTAAGGGATTTTTGTGTTCTACTACATCTTTGATATCTTTTCTCTGATGCAGATATTATCAGCCAACTCTCAGACCCTGAGAGGCCGAGCTCTCAGTCCGAACACCCTGAGAGGACAGCGATACACTGAGACACTACATATTGACCAGCAGGTGGATGTGGCCTCGGAAAACACAACTAGGATGGACATGTGACCCCACGTGTTGGGGAAAAAAATGCACTGGTGTTTATTTTGTTGCGTGGACTTAAAAACATAATGAATATTGATAATCTAAGCATGTTTATGAAAATCTCTTGTAATTAGCTATAAAATGTTCACTCAAACTTAATTATACTGTTACCACCAGTTGTATTTATGTTACTGCTCACATGTATTTAATTCTTATATTAAAGAATTTGCTTACAACCAGTTGAAAGTGCATGGTTGCTTTTCTGAAACAGAAATGTTTGATGTTAAGGAATTTTAATGGTAATCTCCAGGCAGCAGGAAAAACATAGCAGATCAGCACATTTGTAGAATCAGTTCACACAGTCAGAAACTTGAAGAGAAAATTTATCCCAAGTCAGCAGATAAAAGTGCTGAGATCTGCTTTGGAAGCAGTGTGCTATTTGTAGAAAGGTGAGCGTAGTAAAATCCCATGCTGTAAAATATCTTTTTGTCATTAAAGACAACAATAACACTGTTCTCATCCACAATTTACAGCATGCATTAAAAGGCTTACCATTTACAGAAAAACAAAAAAATGTTAAACAAAAACAAACATCTCAGATAATTAAAATCAAAGTCTTAAGTTTATTCACTGGAAGAGCTGTTTGCAGGTTAAAATCAAAGTCTTAAGTTTATTCACTGGAAGAGCTGTTTGCAGGTTAAAATCAAAGTCTTAAGTTTATTCACTGGAAGAGCTGTTTGCAGGTTGTTTTCTTCCTGTAATTTTGTCTTTAGTGTGGCTTTCTCCAGTTCATCAGAAGTCGCACAGTTCAACCTGTAAACTGAACATCTGTACTGAGCAGAATGGAGTCCTACAGAAAAACAAAAATATAAAAAATGTGATGTTTTTATATCAAATTTTAAGAATATTTATGAGAGTTTTAACAGAGACGATCGCATATCTTGCCTTCAGGATTTGAAGTTGGGGATTCACAAACTGCATCTTTCCTAAAGCAGGAAGTGGGTAACCTTCAGCAAGATAAACTGTGAAGAGAAATTTAGAAACTCAAGTCAAAGAATTGCAGGTTAAAGGTTCATTACATTGCAGTTAGAAAAATACAAATTTCGCTTGTTTGGAATGGTTGCAGGAGAAAGCCTCTTTGCTCTAAAAAGAATGTGACACAGCACAAATTTGGTTTGAGAAGTTGCATCTGAATGAATAACAAGACTTCTAGACAGTTATATCCTTTGGACTGAGACCAGAGTAGTGATGATAGCCAAAAACCAACAACAGCATATACCAGCAGAAACAACTCATAGACACTGTCATCACAGTGATGGAGGTGTGGTGATTAGGTCTGTTTTGGTGGGTGGACCTTCATTTATAACTAACATTATGTGGGCTAGGTTTGAGTGGTATGATGATATCAGTATTGAAATATGGTGACAGTATTTAAAACCTATGACCTAGTCACATTCTCTTCTTCAAGAGACATCTTGAGTCTGAGTAGTTACAGGTCAACCCAGCCTTATAAGCAGTACCCCTCTATAGTGTATCAAGTTTAATGATTACAATAGTTTATTTTCTAAACATGACATCCCAGTGGCTTTCAAACCCCAAACACATGGCAAAAACTGGTTCACTCCAAGAATATGGTCCTCCAGCCAAACAGAGTAATGTTTATGCTGTTGAGTGCCAGGAATGCAACCAGTTATACATGAAGGAAAAAAGTAGCCAAAGGACAAAAGGATGGTCCAGCACAGAACAGCAACATCATCAGGCCAGGACTCTTTAGTTTACGCTCATCTATAGGCCAGTGCTCACTCTTTTAGGGATGAAAATGCTGTCATCCTTGATAGAGAGGAATGCTGGATTGAGAAAGGAATACAATTTTTATGAGGAGAAACTACCCATTGTCTGCATGGTGGTTCAGTTAGTACCTCCCAGCAAGAACGTTACCAGATCAAATCCCGGCCCTGGACCTTTGTAGGTAGAGTTTGCATGTTCTCTCTGTGCATGCGTGGGTTTTCTCTGGGTACTTCGGTTTCTTACCACAGACCAAAAACATGGCTAATTAGTAACTCTAAATTGTCTCTAGGTGTGGAGGAGAATATGAATGGTTGTTTGTCTTGTTTGTGTCTATGTTTGTATTCTGTGATGGACTTGTGACCTGTCCAGGGTGTACCCTCCCCCTTGCACAATGACTGCTGGAAATAGGCACCAGTACACCCCGTGACCCTGAAAGGAAGAAGCAGGTTAAGATAATGGGTGGATGGAAGCTGCCCATCATTAAACAGGGGTTTAGGCCTTTGTGTCTAGTTGTCCTCTTACAATGCTGTTTATTGTAAGTATGACTCAGCCCTCTGTGAACAATAAGCGGCAATCAAGGCACTAACGTAGGTTGATGGTGGTGTTTTGCATGTGAAAAACCCCTTTTGATTGTCATCATTAAACTTGTTAATCCACTATGGAACATGTCAAATTCAAAACTTGGCCTCTGGGTGACCAACCGGTCAATGGTAATCTTTAAATTTATTTATTTTTTAAATTTATGATTCAATATAACAAAATAAACACATTTAAAATGTGAAGGATAATAATATAACTGTTGGCTTTGAGCAACTGTGCCCTCCTGAGCAATTTAGTTGAATTGCCCTATATTAAAGTCTCAAAATAAGCTGTTTTAAAGCCAGCATTGACCATAACCTACTGGTAAATTTGCCATAATGCCTGTCGATTATACATGGGAATTTCCCGTTGAGAAGTAGGAGAGAGTGGAATTCAAGACACCACAACTCAACAGTGAGTAAAACTCTTCTACTTTCAATAGTATTTCTGTATTATTTATTTCACATTTAGTCAGTTGTACATGTAGTACTTTTCAGTGTTAATAAGAGGATGTCTTAACATGTTTCTATTCAGGAATTACCACAAAGAGTTCAGTTATTGTTTAGCAGTTCTCAGTCGTAGCAATCAGATGAGGAACAAGACATTTGCTGTTTAGTCAAAGTTAAACATAAAATGTCAAAGTTATTTATAAATGGCCCTTTGAGGGCCACCATAATGCCCAGGTGGCCCTTGGTGAAAATGAATTTGACACCTCTGCACTATGGGAAGGTACTGCTTATACTACTTCTCAGCTCAGACTGAAGAAGTCTTTTGGAGAAGAGACAAAACATTTCAACAAAGAACTGCCTGTCCAGAGAACCTACTCGCTTTATTTATTTGTTTGTTTGTTTGTTTGTTTTTAGATTTTTCTACCTGGATCATTGAGATGCATCAGGACAATGCCACGCTTTTTACTGAACATGACCATCCTAATCAATGCATATTGCAGTGGCAAACAGAAGGATACATGGTAGCCTCATGGAAAAAATTTGGTCAATCCACCGTCGGTTTCATCTTTCGAGCTAAACATTCATAAACCTCTTGATAATAATATGTAGGAATRAAAAAAAATTCACACAAACTCAGTAAGAGCAGGGTTCTTTTTGTCTTTTTTTAGGTCTTACATGTACCCAACAGAAAATGCGGGAGCTGCTGGAATTGGCAAATATTTGTTACCAGCCATCAGGATCATATTTTTCCTGTAAAAGACATGTTGCCCCTTGAGATTACTTGGATTTTTTGCAAGCACTACTCTTTCTGGCCCTCACACAGATCTTTAATCATGTTAGGTTACAAGAGGGGCCATGGGACAATCAAAGTAGAAACTGTTTCTGTTGGTTTTTGTGGTCTAAAAGTCTTCCTCTTTTTATAACCACCTTTTTTATAGTCAGTGAGTTGCTTCTTCTTTCCATGGTCCTCATGCAGCAGGCTGCAACGCTAGCAAACAATCGATTGTCTCTCTGCTTTGATTAAACATGTTTTTTTTATGAATCAGTCAAAAAGTTATAATGTCTTCTAAAAGGCCTTTTTGCAAAACCCATCGGATTGGAGTTAATTAAATTGTCTGTAGATTTTGTTGTAAGAATTTAAGAAACTTTTTTTGGGTAGTTTAAAGATTTTATAGCCTTTAAAAAAACTTCATTCATATATCAATCAATCAATCAATCAAACAGCTTCATTTGTACCCGCAGGTAAATTTGGTTACAGTGAAAACGAGTCAGCTTCTAGCCAAGAAAAAGCACAAGACATCTGACATGGACATACAGTGGACACAACATGATTAAAAAGTGACCAGGTGCTCATAAAACTCAACTATATAAGAATCAAAGATAAAAACAAGATAAAATCAAATAGAACTATATAAGACAAAAAAAGAATAAAATGACTAACTAATGGCATGTATTTTATGTTAACTTGACTTTAAAAAGCTAATTGCAACAGGAACAAAGCTGATTTTGAAAYGCTTTGTTTTACATTTTGGCACTAAGTATCAACGTCCTGATGGGAGGAGGCTGAACTCGCCGTGCAGAGGATGAGACACGTCTTCCAAAATGGACCCAGACAATCTCTGGACCTGCCTAGAGTACAGAGATTCTGGATTTAATTGCATCTTTCCAGTCAGTTTACTGGACCATTTCACTATTTGGTTCAAGGAGTAATTATTTTTAAGAGAAAGGTGACCAAATCAGGACACTAAGCAAAATGATTAAATAGATTCAATAAAAGCACAATAAAACAGAGTCAGCAGGGTTTTGTCTATGTTAAAGAATGACAGTTTCTTGAGACAGAACAGGCGTTGGAATGCTTTTTTGTAAACAGCTTCACAGTTTTCATCAAAGGTCAGTATACTGTCAATGACTGTACCAAGAAATTTATGGGTATATATATACATATATATACAGTGGTTTGCAAAAGTATTCATAMCCCTTGAACTTTTCCATATTTTGTCACATTACAACCACAAACATAAATAAATTTCACTGGAATTTAATGTGAAAGACCAACACAAAGTGGTATACAATTGTGAAGTGGAAGCAAAATTTTACATGAATCAAAACAT